ACGAAACGTTTGGCATAAGTTGAAATCATAGGGATGCCGTTTCTCAGTGGATTTTATACTTGAAAAGGCATCAAAATATGTATGCAATACTTCTACATATCTTCGTTTAAAGTAGAGCTCTAGATACCCGGGTATCGAGCAATGCGAGTAGCTCGATACTCGCTCGAAACTCGTTCATTGCTCAACTGCTCAAATGTTTGTTCAAAATTTTCGAGTGTTTGAACAATTTCATAAACAAAAGAAAATTTTTAAATTGTATTTGTCAGCATCTGCTTTCTTATTCATGTTAAATAAATTATATTATTAAATACCAATGTAACAATCTTTGCATTATATATCAATAACTTTTTGGTCCAACATTTTCACCAACAATTCACGTTTACGATTTTCATTGGCACATTTGTCTGCTAAGATTAAGGTTTGGTGGTCATTTGCCGCTTTAAATAACCTAAGGAAAGTGTTATATCCGTTCTTGAAATTCTCCAGTTGTGCGGCTATGAAACGGTTATTCGCAAAGCGAAATAAATTTTTTCCTCTTCACTCCCTGGCGGCAACAATGACCCGGTTCTATAGTGAATGTCCTAGAAGCTTTACAGTAAAGTAGGTGGCAATTTCAAAATGGGTGCGAATCATTGTTCTACAGAAATGCAATATACATATACTTATTTCAGACGAAATACCTTAAAAGTTTGAACGCATAAAAATATTGGAAAATTACATCCATTGGGCCAATTGCAACGCAGGACCGTCGATATACTCAATGGTGTAACAGGTCGATTTAATCTGACCTTCACGGCCCTTTTTCTCACTTGGCTATTTTTAGTAATAGCTCGACTTCAGCACCACTTGGCAGCACGTTTTTGCAATAGTATTGCATACATATTTAAAACATTAGCCAAATCGGATCATAAATAAGATTTTTAGTAATAACTCAACTACAGCGCCATCTGTCGGATTAAATTGTGAAACTAAACCATCCAGAGACCCACTCAAATACACAAAAAGTTTCGTTAAAATCCGTACAACCATTTAGGAGGATTTCACTCACAAATACACCTACAGAAGAATAAAAAAATTCATTCAAAGATAGCTAAAAGTCGGTAGGTTTGTAGGCCTCACACCCCTTTTTAAATAGCCCAAATTTTCTCCATGAGTATGGGCTTGATTTCAACTATATCCATATCTCCATACGAAGTTCCAGTACTGTACCATGAATACTTTCAGAGATATGCAGTATAAAAATTCGATTTATATGGGAGGAGCCACGCCCCCCTTTCCCACGGCTGCCCTCTTTCTTCATGAGTATGCGATTGATTTCGTATATCTCCATACCAAGTTCTAGAACTCTACCATGAACACTTCCAAAGATAGGCAGTATGAAAAATTCGGTTTGTATGGAAGATGCCACGCCCCCTTTTCCAATAGTTCCAATTTTTCTCCAAGAGTATGCGATTTATTTCGTACATCTCCATACAAAACTCTAGAACTCTACCAAAAAATTTCCAGAGATAAGCAGTATGAAAAATTCGGTTTGTATGGGAGATGTCACACCCCTTTTTACTATAGCTAAAATTTTTCTCCAAAGGTATGCGATTGATTTCGTATATCTCCATACCAATTTCCAAAACTCTACCATGCACACTTTAGAGATATGTAGCATGAGAAATTCGGTTTGTATGGGAAGTGCCACGCCCCCTTTACATATAGATCTTTTTCAGCCTAAAACCATCCTTGGGACACGTGCGGCAGGTGGCAGTTTCAAAAAAATCGGTTCAGCCGCCCTCGAGCCTTGCGAAAACTACAAACGGCTTTCAAAATATAAATTAGTTGAGATATATTATATATTATAATTATATTTTGACAGTATCCGTTGTTTCTGATTGGCGCAAAAAAATCTTGCCTAGTGACGAATTCGCCCCTTGATATGGTCGTTACTTAAAGCTATTTATATTGGAAATTGCATGAAAATTGGAAAACAGGAATCTATAAGCTTATCCAGGCAAAAAGCTACCTACGCACAGTGCTGTATGAGCGGGCAAAAATCAAAAAAATTGTTGTCACGTATGTCAACGTGTTTGGTATCGTTGGAAAGGAAATTTATCCTAAATTAAGGATCTGGACTTAGTTTTTGTTTTTATCTCATAAGGTTCTCACAAAAACCTCTTAAAGTTGTGTGTTTTTTATATATTTTTTCTTTTATGAAAATGCCTTTAGCTGGAGTCTTTAACAAAAAATTGCTAAAAATACAATTTATCATACTTTATCTTAAGACAAAATTTTTCTAATTAGAAAATCTGTAAGGAAACCACTCTATAGAGCTTTTTAAAAAATATTGAGTTTCCTGGCTGGAATGGCCTATTTGCTACACCCTAAAATTTGTTGCAGAAAATTTAAAAAATTCCTAAGTTTACAAAGGGATAAAAAAAAAATATGTAAAAGTATGTTTTTTTTTATTCTTTTATTTGAAAGAAGGGGCATTTTTCTTTGAAATAAAAAAAAAAAGTCTGCAGACTCATTGCGCTTTTCGAAGAAAATCGTTTTTTTTAAGGTTATAAAATAAAAAAAATTTCATCTGATTACAGTTACCACAGTATTTTCCATTACTTAAATGCCAAAACATTCTTTAAAAATAGTAAAGTTTATTACTGTAGACACACGCGGTAGTGTTCTGTGCTGTGTAGTGAAGCGTAAAATAGTGAAAAAACTAATATTAATATGAATTCAATTATAAAAAACTCAATTTTAGCTGATATTCGGATTTCTACTCGTCCATCAGATAGAGTGTCTGCATTATCTGCATTTTTTGAAGACAAATTAATACACGCTAAATGCGACAAAGCACTTTTGAATCAAAAAATAAAACTTTTTAATAGTGAGATGAAAAATAAGTGGAATTATAGTGGCCGCAAAAGAAGCGCTTTTGAAAAAACATATTCTAAATGGCTAAATTTGACATTCCTTTCCCTTCCGGATTCCAATGGAAATAAGGATAAATGTGCTGAACGGGGAAGACCTTCTAAAGAAGAATTTTGCGAAGCTTCACGGAGAACAAAAAATCGAAGGGTAGAGCATTTGTTGAAAAACTATTCCATCGAAGAGCTCGAGTATGCTCTGAAAAAAATGAAAAAAGCAAGCAAAGTTGAATGTTTTGAAAGTAGTACCGAAGGCTTGCCCATATCTGATTCACTCGCACTATACATAGATCCGAACTTATCAGATCGTAAATATAATAGTTTACGTGCAAAAATAAACCGGTTGCATAAAGATTGTATACCGAGCTTAAACGCATTGCAAACAAAAAAACAAACTTTGCTGCCAACGATTAAATCGACTGAATATTCAGCCGAAATTGATCTGAAATCATTATTGCTGAAAACAACGCAAAGTATTTTAGAACTAAGCCCAGATAATGGTGACATAACCAAAGCTTCTTTGGTTTGTAAGTGGGGCATGGATGGAAGTTCGGGGCATAGCCGCTATAAGCAAAATTTTGGTGACGACAAATTAACGGATGAGTTTATGTTCATCATTGCGCTAGTCCCTCTGAGGTAACAAAAAATTATCTAATATGTCTTCCAAAAACTTTCAAACATTAAAAATAAATTCGAGTTTAGATCAGTAAATGGCATTTTAATTTACATTGACAACTTTTTACAGTATTATTTTGCAAAAGGCTGATCTGAATTAATTAATTTACTCGATTAGCTATTTTGCGATATGACGGTCTTATATCTTTTCGACAAGCCATATAAGTTATTAAAAAATAAATATTTTTTCCAGGTTAATTGATTTGCCATCCAACAAAAATATATGGACCAATAACAAATGCTCATCGTCTTTTTATTGTCGTCCAATTAAGTTTAGTTTCAAGAAGGAAAACCGCGAACTAGTTCTATTCGAATATAATGATATGTCGAGAAAAATTGAGAACTTAGAAGATGATGTTGTAATACGAAACGGAAAAGGGATTCAAGTTTCTTATCAAATGCATTGCACCATGATTGATGGATCTGTTGCCAATATTTTGACTGGCACTAATGCTTCCAGTAACTGTTTTATTTGCCATGCCAAACCGACCGAAATGAATGTTACTAATTTTACAAAAGTACCAATCGCTAATCATTACAAGTATGGGTTGTCTACACTGCATGCTTGGATTAGATGTTTTGAGTGTTTACTCCACATCGCATACCGTTTAACATTTAAATGCTGGCAAGTTCGCAAAGAAAACAAAGACGCCTTTTCTGCGAATAAAGTTAGGATTCAAAATGAGTTTAGGACAAGATTAGGCTTAATAGTGGACCAAGTAAAGACTGGATTTGGAACAACTAATGATGGCAACACAGCTCGCAAATTTTTTTCAAATGCAGAAGTGGCATCTGAAATTACCGGCATTAATAGAAGAGCTAATTCAAAATTTTTTAATAATTCTGCGATTAATATCGTGTGGAATGCGTATTAATATCGACGCGTTTAGAGAGCTCCTTATAAGGACAAGAACAATGTATTTGACTGAATACGAATGGTACTACATGCCTAGCAGCGTGCATAAAATATTGATGCATGGGTGTGAGGTTATTGAGTATTTCGATCTACCAATTGGTAAGAAAATCGATTTGTTGCTATTCGGCATTTTTTACTACTACGAATTTATTCCCACAGGCAATTTTTCAGAGGAAGCTCTGGAAGCTTTACATAAACACATACGTATCGTACGATATGATCATACACGTAAAACTGCTCGGGAGCATACAAACAGAGACTTGATGTCATACTTAACAATATCATCAGATCCTGAAGTAGTTTTTAAAAGGAGTGCTATCCAAACAAAAATGCAGTTTATACAATGGACGAGCTGGAAGAGTATTTAGTCGATGCTGAAGAAACTTAAAAGTAATAAGTACCCTTCAGTCAACTCAATTAGTTTTATACTAATCAAATACTAGTCAGCCACACGGCCTCAACTAGTTCGAGTTCTGTAATTTTTCCATATAAGCAACTGGCCGCGGCGATGTCCTACGAGATGGCAATTGTCCTCTTCTGCATCAGCACTATACCAGTTGGCATACTAGTCAGCCTTTGCATCAGCAATATATCAGTTGACATACTAGTCAATATATACATCAATATCATACCATTTAAGATACTAGTTCGTATATACGTCATGATCGTACCTGTTGGCATACTAGTCATTATATACATCAGAATCATAGCAGTTGACATACTACTCAGTCTATGCGCCAGAACATACTAGTCAGTATGCACGTCAAGATCCTACCACTTGTCATACTAGTCCACGAATTTGACATTCATTCCAGTTGGTATAATATGGGATGGGATTTTTCTGATTAGTATGATTTCTAGTATAGATTACACTTTTTCTGACTAGTATGATTTCAACCCGAAATTCATGAATGAATTCATGTATGAATACACCACAAAATTCATGTATGAATACACCACAATTCATGTATGAATACACCACAAAATATATAGTCAATGAACTAGTGTGTTTGCTGAGTAGTTTGGAATTTGACTGCATGATTACTTTAATTTTTCAATAAACGGCGTTAGATAAAACAAATAATTTTTGATTCAGTATTTTGCAACAACTCTTGTTCGTGCGAAGTAACTAATAAAAAGGAAAACAAATTTATATTTGTCTTTTGAGTATTTAATGTCGTCTTGAATGAATCAAATTTTTTAAGCGTGTGACATCCACACCAAAAGATATAATCAATTTAAAAAAAAACATTTTGTAGTCAAAAAGGACCAAAATGAAAGTAGCTGCCATTCCTAGAGGGTTTGCGTAAGAGAGATATAGGGAATCTTATTTGCCATGAATTAAGCCATAGAATGAAGCCTTGAAGTCTTTAATATTATTAGGAAAACGCCCTGTATAAATAATAAAATAACTACTCAGTATTGGAACTACTTCTGAATATCAAATTTTGCAGTTTCAATCTCAGTTTCCATGAAAAATGTAAGAGCTAGGTAAAAAAAAAATTGATTTTTGAAATCTCCGTACTCTAATCCACCAAGAAACGAATTTTTACTCAAATCCGTCCATTATTCTATTTTTGCCCACTTTTTATATGGAGACACAGCACTGTGCTACGTACCGAATTTTAAGCAAATCGGACCATAACTACGATTTCTTCGAACAGATCGGTCCCTGGTCCACTTCTCGGACAAAATGGATGGTATATGCTAATATATGCTAAAAAGCTACCTACGTACCGAATTTTAAGCAAATCGGACCGTAAATACGATTTTTTCGAATAGATCAGTCCCTGGTCCACTTCTCGGAAAAAATGGACCATATATCCTAATATATGCTAAAAAACTACTTACGTACCGAATTTTAAACAAATCGGACCATAAATGCGATTTTTTGGAATAGATCGGTCCCTGATCACATATGCTAATACATGCTAAAAAGCTATTTGCGCACCGAATTTTAAGCAAATCAGACCGTAAATTCGATCGGTCCCTGGACCACTTCCCGGAAAAAATGGGTCAAATATGCTAATATATGCTAAAAAGCTACTTACATACTAAATTTTAAGCAAATCGGACTATAATAAGATTTTTTCGAATAGACCGATCCCTGGTCCACCTACCCGAAAAAAAGTAAAACTTTTTTAGCCTAAAACATGGTGGTTACCGAAAGCTATTTGTATACAAAATTTCATGAAAATCGGACCAGCCGTTCGCGAGATTACCTGTTACAAAAAAAAAAGGGACTTCTCTTTATATAATTAGTATAGATTTGAAATATTTAAAAAGTTGCTACCAAAAATGTCAATATAATAAAAAAACATTGCTCAAATTACTCGAATTGCTCGAGCTCATGCTCGAAAATTTTCGAGTAATGAGCATTGAACCAGTGCGAGTACTCGCTGCTCATATACCCGGGCTGTTTGAAAATGTGCGAACAAAATCGAGAGCTCTAGTTTAAAGTACAAAACCGCGCATCAAGGAAATGCAAAACCTCGTATGTGAGGTTGCCTAAATTTTATAGGAGAGAGTGAAACTTGTCCTAATTAAAAATGGTTCTCTTTTAAACTTAATTATCTTTGTATTTTAAACGACGATATACATATTGGCACTTACACAATATGTTAGGTTAGTGTTTGGCCTAGCTTCTCCTCCCATATGTGGCGTGCGTGATTTTGTCACACAAAGTAAATGACACTTTTACGCCGACTCCGAACTCCAATGTATTTTTATGAGAAGCTGTTTCCATGACAGAATACACTCGGAGGTTTACTATTACCAACAGAGGGGCAACCACATGAAAAAATGCTCATTGAAAACAGTTCACATGTATAAATTAAAAGATATAACTTAATAGGTTACAGCGCTAAACTAAAGGAAAATGCGGTGTGAAGGAAATAAAAGACCATAAAATGTTTGTTTGTTTCGTTAATTCTCTGAACCTGTTAAGATATGACACTCCATTGTTTGCAGTAGTTTGCAAATATACACTAATTGTTCTAAAATCGCAAACATTTTCGTGGCATGTTTTTCTTTGATTTCAAATTGAAAATACATTACGATCATATTGTACCGAAATAAGTGCGGTATCCCTGCATTTTGTAAAAGCCAGAAAGAAGCATAAACTGTATGAAAAAATGAAAGGGAGAAGTATACATGCCTTCTATAATTTTGACTTATATGTATTTTTGGCAAGTCTTTGTGTAAAAAACAAAAAATACACATTTTCATTTATTTGCCAGCTTGGAAAATATAGGCTTATTTTTACTTAAATGTGATATAAAGCTCATTAAAATGTTGTGTAATGTCTTGTTTTTAAGTTTGTTATCATAGTGCTTTGTATTTTGATTGTCCACTATACGTGAGTCGCTTCTATTGAAAAAGTTCTAGTACAAAGAATTTCTTTGTTTTGAATTTGTTTGTTTATTGTTTTTAATTTTTAAAATTCATACTTTTGACATGTATGTGAATGGCGGAGTTGCCGCTTTCCTCCTTTTCGGTGGGTTTTTATATTAAAAAGGCATCAAAATGGGAAAAACCCCCCTTGGTATCTCTGCATCTGTTAAACTTTTTATGGGAAGATGTATGAAAATCCAACTTGCTATAATTTCATATGCTTAACAGTATCACAACAGTATGTTTACAGTATCTCCCCATAACTTTTCATATGAAAAAATGTATTATATGCATCCCACTCGATATCATTGAATTCCTCATTAGAACATGTAGTCCCTCTATTTTAGCGTATCAACAGTTCATATGGCTTCATACCATGTAAATGCACCATCATGTTGGTTTATGAACGACAGCAAACGATATTGCAAACACTCCTTCATACAAATTTCTTGATTTGGGCAAAAAAATAACAAAAAACAAGGAAATTGTCCAGTATTTTTAACTTGACGCATCTTGGACTCCATTTGTCTTCGTTGAATTATAAATCTCAGCGCCCCGAAACTGCTTAAAGGCTGCTTCGAGGTATGTTTCCTCGTTCACACATACTTTTTCATGCTTTTTGCACAAAATTTTCTCCGAAAGCTCACACTTCGCCGCACACATTTTGAGGAGTACGTAGAAGTTACAAAAAGTAGATACTTGAAACTAACAACGACAACATGCCCTATGAATGTGTATACCTACTTTTAATTTACAGTTAGTTTTACGCAAGTGATGAGTAAACACAATTGACTAGTTTTTTTCATGTCAATTCTTTATTTGACTGAGCGGAGATGCTGTAGTATTTGTTTGTGAAGTCGTTTGCATTTTTCTAGAGTGGGGATACGAGTCTTCATGAGAAGGATTAGTTATTGGTAGTTTTTTCTTATTTGAGTTTACATTTTCGTTTGTAAATTGAGTGGATGGATTTTTGGGGGTAGAGTTGTTGTCGGTTATGGTTTTGTTAATATGCGTTTGAGTTTTTGCTACTTTAGTTATGTTAGCTTTTGTTGGCGAAGCTGGGCGCTTGTATGTTCCAGATGTTGATGTATTTGGTGTAGTTGTTGTGCTTGGTTTGTTAAAAGTTGGGTTGGTGATGTTGGAGTATGAAATTTGTGGTTATTGTGTATGGGTGTGTTTTTCATTATATTTTCGGAGCGCTTCCCCCATAGAGCATTTTTCTATTGTTTTAATTTTTAAAATGTCTTGATTGCTGGTACCTGGGGGAGTCTTTGTCAGAGGAGGAGTGATTTTCGCCACAATTTGCACATTGTTTGCGTGTGCATTCAACTGGAGAGTGGGACGGCAGATTGCATCCTTCACAGGTGCTTGGATTAGTGCATCTGGTTTTGGTATGACTTGGAGTTGGCAATTTCTGCAACGCATAGGGTTAGGGTAGTAGGGCGACACTTTTACTTTGTACCAAGCCACGTCTAACGATTTTGGAAGGTGATATAGGTCCAAGTTGACAACAATTTTTCCGGTGGGGGTTGTTTTACCGTCGAATGTACGGGTAAATTTGTAAATACTCGTCACTGCCTGACTCTTCAGCTCTTGGACAGTTTCTTCTTTTACAAAGTTGAGACATGGGGCGTATATTATACGTTTCACCGTATTGAGGTTGTCTTGAAGCTTGACCGTGATAGGGTAAATATTTAGACGCGATTTCGTTTTTATAAATTTTTCAGCTACTTTAGAATTGCGTGCCAAAACCAGTAGTGAACCGTCTTTCAGCTGTTGAATGCTGTCTATTTGGGTTGATATCGCATCAATACCCTTTTTTATTATAAAAAGAAAGAGTTTATTTAATTGTCCGTTGGTTGACGATATTGTTAGGTATGGGTGCGTTCCAAAACGTCAAAATACAAGCCTAACTTGCGCAACCTAGTAGAAAACTAGCATCTAACCGTGGTTGCGCGCATTTGGCATTAAAATCTATTGAGGTCTAGAAATAAAAGAGACTGATGATTTGTATTTTGACGTTTTGGAATTCACCCTATTTTGGTTGGCTTTGTGTTGTTAGTTTTTGTTGAAGTGTAGGGACGTGTGTATGTGTTGTATGTGTCCATTTCACCT